CCCGCCAGCCGATATTATTTTTTTACGATATCATATCTCTGATTTGACGGTGACAGTTCCAAACCGATACTCATCAACTTTCATTAATTCAGCGCTATTGAAAGGCCACACTTTTCACCACGTTGAATTTTTTCCACGAAAATATCGTCAGGAAATATTTGTCTTTCAATATTCTATGTGGGTGCACGAAAGGTAGTGCAGTACATTGTAACCTATTGCTTATATTACATGTCATTTAATTTAGTTAAAATTGAAAAAAAAAAGAAAATTTCAGATATACTGTCAAAGGAACGTTTTATAACGCAAAAGTGATATCAAGAAACTAACGTTATTAGTCAAAACATGTTTGAAATGGGTGATCAAATCTTGGGATCCTATGAATTCTGTATCCGACTTAGGCTGAAACATATTTGGCCATTTTAACATAGACACCAAAATATCTCGAAAACAATGCATTAAAAAAAATATTTTAAATAAAAGTTGTAGGGTTCAAAAGGAACCATCAAATGCTCTACTTAGATTTTGAGTCCAGGACCTATTTTGGACCCAATAAAGCCCAGGTTGATTTTTTCGATGGAAATACTTATGTTTTAGATTCGTATTCTATGCAGGAAAAAAATAAAGAAAATCTGTTCTAAGATAATTGAAATCTTGTCTTCATTGGCCGGAATGGATTTCAAAATAAGAATACTGTGTTACGCCTGTCGGAGAAGGTATTAAAAAATTATCAAGAATCAGATTTTCTTTTTTTTTTTTATAGAACACGAATCTGCAGTAAATCATAAGCATTTCCATCGAACAACCCTGGGTTTTATTAGGCCAAAAGTGGATTCTGGATTCAAAATCTAAGTACATCATTTAATGGTTTTCTTCCTACAACTTTTATTTAAACCATTTTTTTTAATGCATTGTTTTCGAAATATAGATATTTTGGTGTCTATGTTAAAATGCCAAACATATTTCGACTTAAGTCGAATACACAATCCATTCCGGCCAATGAAGATAATACCAAAGAACAATTCGAATGAAGGTAATACTAGAGAGCAATTCGGCCAACAAAAGTAAGATTTTAATTATCAGGATTTTCTTTATTTTTTTTCCATAGAATACAAATCTAAAATGTAAGCATTTCCATCGAAAAAAATCAATCTGGACTTTATTGGTCCCAAAGTGTATCTTGGACTCAAAATCTAAATAGTATTTGATGGTTTCTTTCAAACCTTACAACTTTTATTTAAAACATTTTTTTAATGCATTGTTTTTGAGATTTTTTGGTGTTTATGTTAAAATGGCTAAACATATTTCGACCTAAGTCGAATACACAATCCATTCCGGCCAATGAAGACAATACCAAAGAACAATTCTAATGAAAGTAATACTAGAGAACAATTCGGCCAACAAAAGTAAGATTTTAATTATCAAGACTAGATTTTCTTTATTTTTTTTCCATAGAATACAAATCTAAAACATAAGTATTTCCATCGAAAAAAATCAACCTAGACTTTATTGGTCCCAAAGTGTGTCCTGGACTCTAAATCTAAATAGTATTTGATGGTTTCTTTC